TTTGTTTTTTTGTCAGTGATCCAGTAATGGGATACAGTGACAAGATGCCTCATATGGACCACAGGAGACGAGATGGAAGCACGGTGAGTTACAGCAAGTCTCACCTGGCTTAGTCATGTGACACGTTTGGTGATGACTTCCTGAAAAGGTCAAAGTGGGCGTGTCCCAATCCAGGGACTTCATCCTTTGAACGCTTGAAGTCTGAGGCTGTTAACTGGGACGGTCTAGTTTACGATGTGCTGCTCAAGTTGCCTAGAAATCCTTATACTTTCCGCCAGAAGTGTTTTAAACAGCAAAGGAAGGAATGAGAGTAATTTAGTTTTGTATTTAATTAATTTATTTTTTTACTTTTACTGATTTTTTTTATTTTTATTTTTGCCATGTTAAGTATCTTAAGCTGGGATTAGCTGATGTGTTTAACCCTTTAAAGCCGGTCGGAGCGGGCACGCTCCGTTTTGCGTAACTATTTTTAAATCCCGGTAGCTCTGCAACCACGTAAGCTAGCACAATAAATGTTTTTGCATATGAAACCGGAGGAGTTGTACTTACATCTTATGCCATCAGCTTGTCCTCGGTCACGGTTTCCTTCCACATATAGCTTTGCAAGAACTGCATAAAAAGCACTTGCAGCAACAAAAACATGATATTCCAGAAACACGCTTTGCCGATCCGATCAGCCGTTCGTAACACTTCCTACGTCGGAACAGACGTCAGCGCAAACTATCGCATGTCCTCCATTTCCTGCCCAAAACGCGGAAATGTAGTTTTTTACCTTCAGGGCTTTATGAGCCTATACTGTTGTTTTTAAAAGTTATGTTTGACTTTATGCTTTTCTGTGTCGTTTCTGGGATGCTGAGGACTCATGTTGCACTGCTGGAAATAGTTCATTTTGATGCTGTTTTTTTTTTTGCAAATTTGCAGTATAATATTTATTTTAGTTTTTCCTGCAGTATATAAAAAATGGTGTATTTCAAAAACAAAACCATGAAGACACTTAAAATAAATGTCCTGTGGTGGGAAACTATTTTGTGCAACTTTTTTGTATTTACAGTTTTGAGGGATAAGCCTCTTAAATTTCTCTAACTAGAAATATATGTTAAAAAAAACTAAAACGATTTCCAATTTTTTGGAAGTTATTGCACTTTTTTGCAATTTATGTAATTACTATGCACTTAATGCAGACATATTATTAACATTTAGGCTCCAATGGTTGTAGTGATGTATAGCAACTTGAAATGCTCCCACAAATGGCTCCACAGCATGTAAAAATATAATATAAGCTCTGGCGGACTTGGTTCTGTGGTTGGTCTTAAAGGGATAATTAAAACCTTAGAGCAGTGAAACGTGTCCATGTTTCAAATACTGAGCTTCAGTAAAGATTCAGGGCACATATTTCTGTTTCATATCATTTCAAATCTCCATCTCAAAGACAATTTTTACAGTGTCTATATGGAGGTATTGTATATACAAGAGACAAATATTGTTCTTTTAATATATTGGTGTCACTGTGTTTGTCTTATATGACTAAAAGGAAAATTCACAAGCTATAAAAGTTTAATGTAATCGTCCCTTGAAGGACGCCGTCCCTGAACTGGGTCACTGCCAGTGACTTGGGTCTTTTTCTGCTCCACAGGGACCGAGGAGAGGAGCTCTGAACAGGCTGAACGCAGGCGCTCAACACGGGAACAGTCGCTTCGGCTTTCAGAAACAGAACTTACGCAACAGCTCTGCAGGTAAATTTAACAAGATGGCTAAAAGAAATGAAAAGTGACGAGTGGCTGATCCTCCTCACTGCTCATATTCTCAGGGTTTAAGGTCGTCTGACACTGATGGTCATTTCTGTGGTGAATAAATATTGTTTTTAACCAAAACCACTCACCAGCTCTCATGTTAAAAACATATAAGAGAAAAAAAGTTTTCTCTTAAAAAGATCACCTTTTTCCTTCCGTACAGCATGTGTGCTCGTGTTGCTGTCACCAGCAGAAGCTCCTCCTTCTTTAACCCCACCTCTCAGTCTTTATTCTGACTGCCTCCACCTGGAGCTGGTTGTAAAGCTGCTGAAAGGCAGACGTCACAGCCGCGACTCGCTGCTATCTGAGGCTGGCTGTGACACATTTAGTCGGCTTTATTTGGTTTGTCCCCGTTGTGTAACGGACCTTAAGCTCCTCCCCTTCTCCCTGCCTGTCTAAGGCGCTCGGTTAGTGGGATATTCCCTCTGAACTTTACCCTGCTGACACATTTTAATCAAAGGTGGTTTCCTCACCCGCCCACACAGATCAGCTTCCTGGATCTCGTCCAATCCAGTCTTCTCGCCTCGTCTCTTTCCAGTTCGACCAGTTGAATCCTTGTTTTTTTTGTTTTTTTTTTCCCCCCCCCCGTTAGTTTCTTTCCTTTTTTTGTCTGACCTCATCTCTTTCTGTCCCCACCTCCACAGGTCCAAACTGGTGACCGGGCTCCTCGAGTGGTTTCCGTTTGCATTTATAAAACCAGCCGTTCTCGGGCCGACCTGCATCCATGGTAACATGTCGGATGTGAAGAGGCCTCTGCTGTGGCGGTGTTTTTGCGACGGACGCAGCAGACTGAGAGATGAAGTAGAAAAATGTGAAATGCTGATTCGTGCAGCGCTGGTCTGTGTTTGCACCTGTTATGTTGCTTCTTCTCCCTCATAATTTGATTTGAAACCATTTCAAAATGTCTTTGTGTTGTTGGTGAAAGTCTGAGTTTCCTCACGAACAGACTCGTTTTTACCCGTCCCTGAAAGTCTGTTTGTAATGAACGTTTCTGTGTTTTGGTGACAGGTTTTGTTCTTTGTCCTTGTTCTGTGTACACATTTCACGCTGCTCGCCGAGCGGTGCTGAACAAATAAAACGTTTGTTTTTAAATCGTGTCTTTTAAAAGTTACATTTTATTTCTGAGGGAACCCGTACGCAGAAAAACACATTTGAGTCGTTGGGGTTTTGAAAGCGTTCAAACTTGTTGAGAAGGACAAACGAGTTAAACTGTGTGCTCAGCCAGAGTGACATCATTAACCACACTTAGGAACAAACGCTCCTCAGCTCCCAGTCAAAGACGCACCGAGGGTTAGAAGAAAATGGTCCAAATAAATCAGCTTTTTCTCTTCACACATGTTCTGGCATCCATGAAAAATGAGGTTTAGTAAAATCGGCAAACACAGAAATCCTGAAAAATGTGTCAGTGTTGTGTCGACATGTAACAGACAGCAAAGAACCAATTTTAAATGATATCTTTGCTTCTAGCAGCCTGTCACAAAAACGTCGTTTGTTTGGATTTTTTTCCTTGAATGTATTTTTTTAAGCCAAAGATCGATTAACAAACAGAATGCAGAAAAGTACCTGTCGGATTTTGATCCACCCTGCGAGACCATCTGGAAAGCATCTGATTGGTAAAGTCTTCATTTTTAAGCGTGACCCCAAACACAGAACACTGTCAGTCATGGATCAGCCTCCCAAGTGTCCGGACCTCAACATGATCACAAGAACAGAAACATCCAAAGAAGAGCTTTGGATGTTCTTCATTAGCCCGGAGAACTGTTCCTGAACACTACTTACAGAAATACCTGAGAGCGTTCAGGCTGTGGTCATACAAACACTGAGTTTCAGGCTTGTTATAATTGGTATATGTACATATGTACATGGACTATATTTCCAAATAGGTTTACATGTTTCAATAAATCATCTATTTTCCTACTGAAATGTAAAGAAATGAGCGTTGGCTCGAGAATTTGGACGAACGTAATATGAAGTCTGAGTTTGATTATCAATGATAATTATTATTATCGGAATAAACATTTAAAAGAATGTTCTTTAATTCAGTCTTTCGCTGTGCTCTACAGCAGCTTTAACTTGGGACCAGTGTGGTGTGGAAGTTGCCGTGGTTACGCAGACTTAATTTCATTTACAGGTTCAAAAAGACAGTCAAAGCAAATACATCTGGTCTTTGATGGTATAACAAGTTATTTATTTCAAACAATGTGAGAATACATAAAAAAGTAGAGCTGAGGTTTTAGCGCTGAAACATTTACTGAGTAAAACCTGCTCGATGCTCTTCTACGTTACCAACTACTTCTAACTGTATATACACATGTCTACAGTCACATATCACATGACCCCGAGCTCCGGCGCCACAACAAACTGTGTGGCTTAGCGTCGCTGTGAGGTCATGGCGGCGTCACAGTTCAGGCAGCAGCGAAGAGATAATCCGTCTCCAAACGGATCTTTTTAGAGCGCTCGCTTTACATGTGCAGCAGGAGGGGGTCTGTGAGGAGCTCAGACAGAAACGCTCGAGAGCTGCTGGCAGAAAGGCAACGAGGAAGGAGGAGAAGCAAAACAGGTCACCAGAGAGCAGCGTTTAGTGCAAGACCTCACCGGTCACATGGCTCAGTGAACGCTCTTCAGTGGGTTTAACGCCTCAGCACTCAGTGTGTCTGATGAGATTTTGGGAGTTTTCTACATCATCAGTGGGATCCCCCCCCTGAAAACCTAAATAAATAAATACACAATTAATTTTTAGTCAATAAATTACAAAAATGATTTTGAATTGTGGCAAATGACATAATTATGTGTGGCAATTATTTCATGGTTCATGCTTTAAAGGGGAGATGTTCTTTGGGCAGTTTTAGGCAGAGAACCACGTGATCATGAACTCAGGAGATCAGAAAGCTTAGAAGCAATGATGAAAACATATTACAGGTAATCACCGCACCTGGGAGTGCCGCAGGAAAGCTTCTTTCCATGAATCCAGATTTTATGACATTATACTGCTTAAAAGCTCCTTTGTAAACTCTGTCCCTGCCACTCGATGTCAGTGACAAACTCGCAACATTTACAAAAAGTAATCTAAATGTTTTTCTTTCTGCAAATGTGTCGTCTTCAAACACACAGATAAATTCTGCATTTCCTTGTGGACAGTGTGAGTTTCACAGCAGGTGAACTGTAAGAGTGAGATGTTTTTATGTTGTCATTTGTGCTTAGAAATATATAATCGTTTGCATGCTGATCAAAGTCACATCCTTATTAGGTCTGATAAGACTGTGTGAGAGGAAGCAGCCTTGACGTTGTAATTATAGCTGTTGATACCAGACTGTTCTGTTTCTTGATGTGCAAGACTTCACACCTTTACATGTGTATTTGAGATATGACCTATTGCAACTTCCTGTTTTTATAGTTTAGTAAGACGCTTACTTCTACTACTTCTATGTCTATGTATAGTATGGCTGGAAACACACACACACATGCACCTACACACA